TGCGCACGAGTGAGGACAAAGTGCGCAGAAAAGACTAGTATTGATCTGTGGGGCCAGTCTAGATCCCGCCAGGAGTGACAACCACCAGCGGGTGTGTCCCGGCGTTACAGTAACGTTGCCGGCAATACTCAATGGCTTGTCTCGATAGGTAAGTGACGTAAAATGGGCTATGGGTTATCAATAAAATGGCAAGGGAGAATGTACGAGAGTGTCGTCGAGGTTACCACCCTTGCTTATGGTTGATGGTGTCAAAATGGTAAAGTGGTTGTTGTCGATGACGAGTCCGTGGCGAGGATGAGCGTTGGTTGTGTCGATGTCGAACCGTCCCTAGTTAGCCAAAACACCCTAGGAAACGGAGAACCTCAACTCAACTTCTCCAAAGAAAACGTGTCAAAATTGTCGGAGTTGGTAGCGGGTAAGTGTTGGTGGTTACGGAAAGTGGTGGTGATATGCAGAAATGCAACGAGGGGTATTGGAGTGGCAATGCGGAAGTGTGGGCAATGGCTGAAATTTTCAAGTGAAAAAAATTCAGTTTCATCAGGTTTGGTCAGACGTCTGGTATCGGTCGGACGACCGGTGGTCGTCGGACATCGGTAACTACCGGATGTCCGGTGCCTGGCAATTTTGGCTGCGGGATGAACTCGAAGAACTCGGGGTGGAGAAGAAAATTTTGGTCAAAACTAGACGGATTTTGTGGACGGAAATGATGGAAAGGATGGGGGAAAGCTAGATCCACTCGTGGCAAAGCAAATTCATGGATCAAATCCAACAAAACTTCATCATACCAACAAATCCCCAAAAAATTGGGGCTATTTTGTGGGGATTTTTGGAATTGGGACAAAATCAACAAAATTAGGCTAGAAAATGAGGGGTAGGGACTCCAAATTCGTGATCAACCTTGGCTCATGATACCAAGATGATGTAGGGTGGAACCCTAGAGGCCGACCTTTCACAATTTTGAGGGGGATTCCCGAAGAACACGATGAACACACAAGGCAAAATACGAGGGGAAATGAGAGGAAACACTCAAATCAACAAGAAATGATCACACATGTGCTAGATGCATGAACACAAAGAGAGATACATGATTCAAATACAACAAAGGGGGATACATAGGTCACTAGTTCATCTCCTAGAAGGAGGTCTTGAATCCACTAGGGGATCTTCCCTCAAGAGGGGGGCTTGAATCCACTTGGGGGATCTTCTCCTAGGAGGCTTGGTTTCCAATGGAATAGGTATCAAGTGGACGAGCAAAGCTCTATCTCTAGCATGAGATAAACCAATGCTAAACCCTAATAAGAGGGAGGGGAAGGAGTATATATAGTCTAGGGGGTGAATGGGTACATGGGCCTCGCCACTAGTCACTGTGCGCAGACAAGCGTCGGACGTCCGGGAGGTTACAGACGTCCGGAGGCTCGTGAAGGTCCAGACGTCCGGAGGGCGTCGGTCTTCCAGTCGTCTGTCGTCCGGAGAGCTCGGATTTTCTCTATTTTCCTTCTGTGATGTGGCACCGGATTACCGGAGGGGCTCAGTCGTCCGGACGCTCAGAGGTGTCGGGCGTCCGGCCGCTGTAGCACTCGCTGGCTGGGTCCTTTGGCTGGTTGGAGTTCCAGGCATCGGACGTCCGGCATGGTCCAGTTGTCCGGTGGCTGTACTTTTCCTAGTAGCTCTTTCTCTTGGTCCTTGTACTTGGTGTGCTCGCCATCTTGTCCATTGGGTGTAGTTGCTCCGTGGCTATCCTCTAAGTACCTGATGACACATAGGGTCTCTGCTTGAGGTAGTAGCCATGCCTCACATGAAGAGTGTGTAAGTTTGAAGAGAAGTGAGTTCACCTTATCTTCGATAGCCCTTGCTCAAGCTCTAGTCATTGGTCCATGTGGTGTCGTGGGAGACATAGATAGGTCCATGGGGATGACCGTAGGATGCTCCACATCATCTTGGGCCTACCTCGTATTTGTAACCCTGACAACATGCGACCACCAACACAATAAACTTTCCCACATACACGCAAGATCCTTCTAGTTTTTTTAAAATCACACAACCATTCTAGTTTTTTTTCTAGAAACTCACAACCCTTCTAGTATTTTTTTTGAGGTAAACAACTCTTCTAGTATTTTTTTTGAGAGGAAACAAACCTTCTAGTAGACATTTTTTTTGAGACAAACCTTGTAGTAGATGATGATGGTTTGTGCAATTTACTCTGTTTTTTTGAGTTACAACAATTTACTCTTTTTTTGAGACAAACTCGCAAAGCTTTTATTCACCCGTCACAAATGTTTACAGGGACGAAATCCAAATTTCCTGGGTGACCTAACCAGACATGGCGGCCAAAACCTAGGAATAACGCATGCTTTGCAAGCTTGTGAGCCTCAACATTCGAGGTCCTAAACTCATGATTAATCAAACAAGAAGAAAAAACTCTAGAGCGGTCTATTATTTCATGTATCACGGCTCCATATTGTGCACTTGTACCTCTCTTGATTGCTTCGACCGCCACTTTACAGTCCGATGCCACTGAAATATCATGGAAGAGCAGGTCCTCAGCAAGGGCCAAAGCTTCACGAATCGCCAAGGTCTCCAACGTCTTTGGATCATCAACATTATTGAACCGGATCACCGACGCTCCTTGGTACTCCCCGCTGCCGTCTCTGCATATGGCCGAAACCGTCCCAAAACCACCATGTCGCGCAACAGCCGCATCAACGTTGATTTTCATGTGATTTTCAGGCGGAGGGATCCACTGATTCGGTCTAGGGGCCGGTGCCTTCTTCTCCTTCTCTGGCTTCTCCAAAACCTGTAGCTCGGACAGGTAGCTTGATATGAAACCATGAGTTGAAAAGGGTGTTTGGAAAATCCCCTCATGTATTAACTTCCTCCGTGCAGCCCAAATCGCCCATAGGGTGACGGTCATTGTGACAAGCTCGTCCTTCGGCAGAGACTCGAACATGGAGAATAACCACTCTCTTGCGTTGTCGCTTCGGTTCATAGACATATGCTGCACCATATCCTCATTTGACAAAGCCCATATGCTCCTGGATAGGGTGCAGTCCAGAAGTGAGTGGCGCCAGCTATCCTGCACCACACACACGCCGCAGTTATCCGTCGTGGACATGTTTCTGTGTTGTAGCAAGTCTCCTGTCGGTAGTGAGTGTTGGGCAAGTCTCCAAGTGAAAACTTTAAGCTTCGACGGCACCTGTAGCTTCCATAAGGCCGACCAACTCGACATCAGACCCCGGAGATTGGAGGTATGCTCTCCTTCCTCTAACCATGCTTCTCTTCCACTCTTTATGCGGTATATCATTTTGTACGCTGTCCTGACAGAGAAAAGGCCTCTTGGGTCCTCGGACCACGCCCAAAAATCATCAACTTGACGGGTGCAAATGGGAATCCTCAGGATAGCCTCGACATCCATTGGAGCAAAAACTTGCCTGATCAAACCTTCCCTCCAAGAAGCGGATGATGCATCAATTAAGTCTGAAACTACTTCTGGAGGGTTATGGATCAAGGAAGAAATCGGCCTCATCATACCTGCTCTTGGAATCCAATTGTGCTGCCAAATATTGGTCGAGCGCCCATCTCCTATCCGCATAATCGCACCCATTTTCATCATGTCCCTTCCATCAACAATTGCTCTCCATATCTGTGATGGGTGTGAGCCCAACTCTGCCTCGAAGATGGATGAGTTAGGGTAATAAGCCGCCTTTAGAATGCGTGCACTCAAGGAGAGCGGCTTTGTCAGGCACCGCCAAGCCTGTCTAGATAGTAGAGACAGGTTAAAAACTTCCATATCCTTAAAACCAAGACCACCCAAGTTTTTAGGGTTTGTCATGGCGTCCCAAGATACCCATGCAGGTTTCCTCCTCCCATTTTTTGAGCCCCACCAAAATTGCCGAATAATTGACGTTACACTATCACATAGACCCCTCGGGAGGCGGAAGCAAGACATAGAGAAAACTGGTATGGCCTGTGCAACTGATTTTATCAACACCTCTTTACCTGCTGCTGACAATAGTTTCTGCATCCATCCCTTCACTTTTTCCCACACTCTATCCCTCAGATAACGGAATGTGCCATTCTTTGACTGACCAACCTCTGTAGGCATCCCCAGATATTTTTCGCTAAGGGACTCATTCTGAACATGAAGGATGTTTTTTACTTGGTTCTTCAAAACCTCGGGGCACCCTTTGCTAAAGAATATTGAGTACTTGTCAGTGTTGATTCTTTGGCCGGATGCGTCGCAATAAGTACGAAGTAGGTTTGATACCGCATTTGCTCCCTTCACACTAGACTTAAATAGCAACAGGCTGTCATCCGCAAACAGAAGGTGATTCACCACAGGAGCTGTGGGTGCCACCCTCACGCCACCAAGCACCGATGACCGAGAACTATTTTTTAAGAGGCACGAAAGGCCCTCTGCTGCCAATAAGAATAGGTAAGGGGAAATGGGATCTCCCTGCCTTATACCTCTGGATGGTTTAAATTGCTCCAACTTTTCTCAGTTGAACAAAACCGAGAAAAACACTGATTTTATCATTCCCATTACAATATCAGTCCATGCTGTGGAGAAGCCCAATTTCAGCATGATCGCAGGTAGGTATGCCCACTCAACCCTATCCAGCTTCAAGGCACATAGACTGCAATTTACTCTGCTACCGGCGAGTATCCAAGCCTCATTCTTCACGGAAGGCCGGGCTGAACAACCTGTGTTCAGCCCAACATGTTCCACTAGCCCGCACACGGAACTCCCGGTCCCGGTCAATCCCCACCACTCGTTTCCCCTCCTCACCCTGCCCCGTTTATTC